AGCAAAAACCTCTGTTGCCGCAAGACTGTACGGTTTTCATTGCAGTATACATTACGCACCCTTGTTATTGTTTTTGCATGAATAGAAACCAATTTTAGATTGCTTACACGGCTTGGTTTGGTTTTGGACGCTACCTCGTATCAGAGCTCAGATAGAACTGTCCAGCACCTTTGTTTATGACTACAAAATAAGCACGAGCGGCAGTTCTGCGAGGAATTCGCACCTCATCCAGGGGGGACGAACGACAATGATGACCATGCCTGTGAACCGAATAACATCACAGTGCAAAATAGAATTATTGCAAAAATACTGCCCGTGAATAAATTTACAACTCTGAAATTTTTGTCACTCGTTCCTTCAATGAATGGGTATTTTTTTCCTGATTATTATGTTTTGCTGTGGAATACACGTTTATACAGATCGGTTCACAGACATGGGCATCATTGTCATTCGTCCCCCCTGGCTGAGGTGCGAATTCCAAGCAGAGCTGCCGCTCGTGCTCATTTTCTGGTCATAAACAAAGGTGCTCGACAGTTCTATCTGAGCTTCGATACAAGGTAGCTTACAATCCCAATACCTTTTTCCTGAATTGGAAACAACGTACAGCAGGAAAAGCCGTTGAGGATGCATTGCAATACATCAAAATGTATGTAGCACGAGTTTGAACCAAAACTACCAAGGGATATTTTAAAAATGTCGAGGAACAAGACATTCGACGTCAGAGCAAAGTTTGGAGCAATTTATAGTGCTTCTAAAATTGAAAACTATCTTTTAAAGAATAGCACGATAGGCAATCGGCTTCTGTTTTCAGAATTAGCAAACACTGAATTTACTTGTCCCGAAAATTCAAACCTGTGTCTCCTTCTTCCTGATAGTAATTTATTTTTGAAATTCCAAAACAATTTCACAGCTGAATTTTGAGCGACTTTTAGTTACGGACTTCTGCTTCAACGATTTTTCCGAAATTCCTCTGGCATATTTATTATATCAATTAAAGCCGATACCAGAAATTTCAGTAAATAATATCAGCAAAATTTTTTACTAGACGCGATTTTCTTAGCTTTTCTTTGAACATTAGGGTCCCGTTAAGCGCTAATTTCTCAAGAAATATTTACCATCAATGAAATCGGAATATTTCGTATTATTGCCGAATGATATCTGTTGTTCTTTGCAAAGTTTCGCAGCCATCGCGTTTAAATCGAAAAAGTTATGACGGAAAATTGGTCACAGCTAAATGCTCTTGTACTAATTACGGAGCCACCTTAAAGGGGTTATGTCACCCCACACGCATGCGCGAGCCAATGAAAACAAACTTGAACAAGTTCTGTCGGAGATTTTGGAAGGCTGTTTTTATCTGTCTAAATCTCAGCCATCGTTCGATAGTTAGCGAAGTTTTGTATTAAGAATCGTTCTATGGTGATTACAGAATAGTTTTTTGGCGTTATTTTGAAATTGTTTGCCTGTGGAATGTTTTTACGTGGATTTACTGTGTCCTCTTATCAGCGGCCGTTGTAATGGCAGAGTTAATGACGGCTACTCCAGAATGAGTGATGGAATCTTTGATGGAATCTTCCCTATAGTTCACAGAACCTTTCTATTGAGTTATTTTAGAGGCTGCTGGCTCTTGGATTTTTCTTGTGCTCAAAGTATGTGGACATATAATGAAGCGGCTATCGAGTTGGCGGCGGCCGTTTTTTGTAAACGATTACAAGAGCATCAGGCCATGAGTTTCGTGACGAAACTAAACTCCTGGAGAAGGAAACATTATAAAATTCGGCTAGATTCGCTCTTGTATTTATCTGTATTCACAGCAAAGATAAACACGACCGTTTGCTCGTCCAGATTGTTCTCAACGGACTTAGAGAGGCACGTTAGTACGAGTTAGGTCCTGTAAATGCCATGTTTTTGAACTGTTTGTGTTCGAGCATATTTTTGGAAAATAGTAGAGTTTACTTTCCCTTTTTATCAACGGACCGCTTATAGTGGAGTAGTATACCAATGATGCTTGGTTCTGTTTTTCTCTACTTCGCAGTGATTCGGCACGATCGAACAATTTTGCGCGATAATGTATGTTTCCCTACGATCAAAACAAAGACTTGATGTCCCTTGTTCTATCAGCATCTAAATTATAAAATAACTAGCGACAGACAAGTCTAATTGTTAATGATTTGAAACAGTCTTGGTCTTTATCTTCGGTCTAGCGTCTTTTGTAGCTCGTTTGTAAAATACAACTTCGATTTATTTTGTTGAATAAGACAATATGTTGTTGTTGAATTTTTGTTTGCGCTCTATTTTATGAATGGCATGCGTTTTTACTTCAAAACTACAAGTAAAATTGTCGTCACAATTTTATTCTTGATCTAGCATAACCAGAGAAGAAACGTTCCGTAAATTCTATCGAAATATCCCTTACCTAAACCCATTTCGCTTATTAACCTCTCTAAATTCGAAGCCTTGGACGTGACAGAGAAGATGGAGAAAGTCACGCGTTGAAAGTAATTTGCATAACCTCAGAGCGCATGCTCTCCAGCTGACATAGCCCTTTAAATAACAATGCATATGACTTATTTCTATTGAATTGAATTAATGCTAAACAATTTTGGATGAAATTTTGGAATTTCTGGGTGGAACGAGGCTAAAAACAACAAAATGAAGAAAATAAATAATGCATTGAAAGAAAAAAATTAATAGAGACATGGTAATGTGTTAGAATTCGTGCAAGAATTGTAATACATGAATATTGTAAAGTCCATTCACAGAAAAGAGGGTTGAACTAGCGAAAACAGCTTCGGATAATCCACTTCCTGTTTTGTGTAACCTCCGTTACTTAAAAAAAAAAAAAATTAAAATGATCAAGATGCCTGTCCCATTTTCATCTTATATTCCTAAATTGCCTAGAAATACTTCAAAGGAAAATAAACTTCTTTAAACTATGCAAACAAAACTCCGCGAACCATAAACTCAGCTAAAATTCCCTTACCACACTTGACAGAGAGGTATCAAACCAATGGAACACGTATGAAGGTGTACTTATGACGAAATCTTCACCAGATGTCATCAAGGCTTGAGTTCTTTGATGGGGCAATCGTGTGACAGCATTTCCCGAAATTTACCTGACGTTTATCCCATGTTTTAGAGACCGGACAAATTCTTGGTAACGGAAGTTAAAATTCTACCTTTTCTGTTACATCTTTAAGTCAAATTAATAACTCGGAAAAACCAAACATACTCCATAATAATCCTCACTAGCTCCTCCGTCACCACAAAAATCAGCACGACCCACTTTTCATTTTCTCACCCTCTCCGCGGACATAGCAAAATTGCATTTTTTGGACGCTTTTGGCCTTGATTCCCTCAAAGTTAGTGCCTACAGGAGCACAAAGGGGTATACTGTCGCTATTTATTTGGGCATATTTTAAGTAATTTTCCGCGAAATGATTATGGGAAAACAATTTGAGTCCTCAAAACTTGCCATGGACAACAAAAAATGGTAATTTACCCACTTAACGTGGAATGAGTGAGCTACGCGCCTTATTGTGCAGTAGATTGCTAATTCAATGAGCGAATGACGTCAACGGGCATCTCGCGGCGGGATTCCCGCTGATTCCTGAGAACATTCAAGCTTCTCAGTTCCCTTTCGTAAAGTGAGTTGGCCTAAAGTTTAAAATAAACTTGAACAAACCGACCCTCAGTAAACAATCGACCGACTATCGACCGACTGTCGACCGCTATATCGACCGCTATGTCGACCGCTATATCGACCGATATCTCGGTCGACATTACCCACAGTAAACAAGATCCAACAAGGGAGCACCCAACGACGGTTTCCTCAGCCTGTTTCCTCCTAAATGCGTAGCAAATACATTTTAGGCTATCCGGAATACTTTAAGATCTCTGGAAATGTATTCTAAAAGGCGCTGTAAAATTTGTATGTGTTCAGTCATCCTAGGGGAACTTGAGTCTTTTGAAAATTACAAGGGCTTCAGTTTTAATTTCCCTTAAATTTGAGATGGAATTTAACGTATTACGAAATTCGGAGAGTTTTTTGTGATTCCTCTCTCCATCACATTTTTGAATCTGAAAATTTTAGGTTTCCTTTTTTGTACGAAAAATTCCCCATCTGGGCAGTGAAATACGAAAAGGTATACTTCATTTAAACGCAGGGAATTTATTAGATAAGTTTCAAAAATTGCACATAAATGGAACGGTCCTTTAGAAATTTTTAGCCGTCTTCAAGTTAAAGAAAATTCTAGACAATATTCGCTTCTCCGAATATAAAAGACATTTTACAGAAAACAGTCTTTAGGTGCCCCTTAGTACAGTACTACTCTAATGACATCTTCTTCAATTACATCGGGAAGTGAAATGTATGAAAAAACATGAGAAAAGTTCCTTTTTAACTTCCTGTTTCAGAAGAGTCATAAGACAAATTTATTTCAATCTGGAATAATTGTTCAAAAGACAGTTGATGACTTCTGCTTCTTCTGCTTTCTGTTGCGAATTTTGAGTATACATTTCAACCTACATGAATTTTTATAAACTTTCATTAGAATTTTTGCCAGTGTGATTTTAAGAGCCTTTTTACTTCCTTATTTTTTTGTGATATATTCAGTGATTTTGCGTAGTAAACGTTATTTAATTCTATATTGAAACTAGTACATAGTAAAACGTTTCAGTACGGCGGGAATTTGCAGAGTCACGATCGAAGGTTGTAAAGTTATCTTTGACGGATTAATCCTTTACTGCATGATCTTTTTGTCTTAGTTTTTATTTTAGTGAGAGATATTTAGTGACAGTTATTTTTGGTAACCGTATAAAATTTCGCTTCAGTTAGAAATCAGTAGGTTCATGCTTATTCGGGATTAAAGGTCGTAAATTGTTTTTCTAGTCTTAGGCAACACCCTACATAAACACACGTAACAGTGTATATTTAAAGGCGACTCGTAGAAAGCAAGTTGGAAGTTGTGACTCTTGCAACCCCAACGCAATCACGAGCTGAAGTCCTTGCTACTTCTCACTTTAAAATCTTTCAGTGGAACGTGTCGTCAACCAAAGTAAGCTGTCATTTCTGACTTAACAACTATTAGTTAACATTTTGGTGTAGAAGTAGTTCCCAGTGTGCTTCTCAATATCGCTGGTTTTCACACTGCGTCATTTTCATGCTCATGAGTTTTTATATGTGAAATCCTTAAAATCCTATGCCCATCCTAGCCTAAAGACCTGTTTTGACCCACGAAACTCTGCGTTGGCGGCCAGTTTACGAATTACGATCTCCTGGAACGATCTTTCAGTCTAAAGGGAAGACCTAAAAATAAAAAATCGGCTAATTGTTTATGTTCGCCGTAAGTGCAGTGAGTTTTCTCCTGTTTTCTCCTACGTGTACATGTACATGTATATCAATGAGCCTATACATAAGTATCTACTTATGTATTTTAATAGCACTCAAATCGCTGAAAATTCAGCGCGAATTTAGATGAACGTCTCGAAGCAAAAACAATTATTAACTGACACGTCTAATTCATAACGAAAATACAAAGGAGATTTATGTATAGTTTTGTTTGTAAATACAATGAAGAAAACTCCTTGTTATCCAACCTTAATCTCTTTTGTTTGAGAGGTATCATATCAAACATTTGACAAAGTAGTTCATCGCACTATAAACGAACACCTCGAGTATTTGTTAGGGCTACAGTGTAGAAGGAATCCAACTAGTTTTTGGCTTCTTATATTATTTTCTACAGTTTTAAGAGTAATCTTTTCTTTGTGAAAGGACATTTTTGAAATCTCATGGTAGTTTAACTATATTTCCTCTTAACAACGAAGTGCTCCCTATTATTTTTTATAAGGTAAATCGACGAACTCTTAAATAACTGTCATGCTACTTTCTTTATCCTCTCAACAACTAGCTGATACACAGACGCCATGAAACTCATTCCATTTTTTGTGTGCATTGTGGTGGTTCTTTTGTTAACTGTACCCGAAGACTCTGAAGCAGTTCCAGCTGCGTGGTTTGTGAGAATTGCTGCGGCCCTCGGTTTGAAGCTGGCAAAGAACAGTTACTACGCTAGATGTAACGTCCGCAACGTGCCGTCTGGAATTAGCTGCCCTTCCGTTGCGTTCGGTGTTGGTTCAAGTAGAAAAGAGGCCCAGAATTCAGCAAGAGCGTACGCAAATCTATGGGATTCTCAGTGTGGAGCTTACCTGGGGCACTGCGACATCAGAAAATTCAGGAAGTAAACAATAAAAATAAAGGATAACAACAGCAGAAATAAGAAACTGATTTAATTAATCTTCAGTGAAAATGGATTTACAATAGGCTATAGAAGGACAGTTTACTTGTAGCAATATTTATCCAGAGAAATGTTAACCAATAAAGTAATGGTCTAAATACTGTCTGAACGGCCTTGTGTTGCGATCATGTATATCAGGGGCATTAAGGAATTTCAAATTGTTAATGGGGAAGTTGAGTTGTGAATATGTCGTTATACATTAGTAATAATAATAACAATAATAATAATAATAATAATAATATATAGATTTAACCACGGCTAAAAGCGAAGCTCCCATTAGTAATTTATAATTTAAATCAAACGATAAACTTGCAATCTACAAATCAGTGAACTTTAGGGCACATTCATGTGACTTTGAGGGAAAGGCTAAGTTATTTTAGAGTGAAACATCTTACATCGAGTTGATAGCCTTATATGTACACCAAAGAAACAGCAAACATCTTTGATCACATTCAAGAGCCATAATGGCTCTTGATCACGGTAGATTAGGCCTCGAAAACAAATTTTTCGCAAACAAATCAGGCCGAATTTTTTTTGCGTTCGACAGGTTTACTTGACAAATCCTTGCCAACAAATCTTAGGGTGTGTAAACCAACCAACTATTTATACTTTTTATACATCTCATCTGAGGTGAAACAGTACTATTTATCATACAGACCTCGGACAGAATGCGGTGTTTCACAATTTTTCAAGACAAATTGCACTTAGTCAATATTCAGGACGATCAATCGTGCGCTTTTAGCGAAACCGTTCAAAAAATTTCCAAAACCACCCATACGGCCAGCCGGTTCTCATTTCTAGTGCGAGCTGTCAGTGTGGTCGAGTGTTTGAATGAACTTTAATAGAGTTACGCTTAAACATACGATGGCCCAGGAGGGTCACCGTTCAGTATTGGTTTTTGACAGTCCAGTTATGGTTTTACACAGTCCAGTTATGGTTTTACACAGTCTAGTTTTAGTTTTTACACAGTCAAGTTTTAATGTTTGAAGAGTCCAGTTTTAATTTTTACACAGTCCAGTTTAATTTTTTACACAGTCCAGTTTTAATTTTTACACAGTCCAGTTTTAGTTTTTACACAGTCCAGTTTTATTTTCTGTGTAGTTACCAGACCTCTCTCGCTCTACTGCAACACGTGTTATCTCACGGCAGCCATTTTGTACTTCCTTGAGACGATGGATTCAATCATCAGGCAGGCTGTTCGAGAGGAACTGAGGCGTTCAAATTCTAGTCGTCCAGAAACTGCGTCTTCTACTAATCAAGATGATCAGGGAAGAAGTGAAAACGAATCAGGTGCGGCTAGATCATCACGAAGTTCGTTTTCATCACGAACAGTGGGACCCCCGTTTGGGATGTTTCTAAAACGAACTACGAAGACCTAAGACCCCGTAGACTAAAACGAACACCCTCTGGACCAAAATAAAGACGCCCTAGACTAAAACGAAGACCCCTTTAATTGGACTAAAACGAAGACCCCTGTGGATTTAACTCTAAACACTTTGGATGTGTTTACGGTGATGATGACGTAAGTTTTGTTTAAATAAAAAATATTCACACCATATATTCGACAAAGCTTTCGTAGTTTTGTGGTGACGTCCTTGGGTACATCGAAAAGTCTCTCGGGATCGAATCTTGCCAAACAGAAGTATTTTTTTCCTTTCATTTTTATTTTGTTATCATTATAACAACTGTTTGAGCCGTAAAAGATGAGTCTTTTTTTTTTCACAATAGAGGTCAGAATAAAGTAACAGGGATATAAATATAACCCGGCATGTATACAAATGAACCTTGCTTGCATGAAATTCGAAATCTACACCTTTACTCGAGTGATGTTCTCGATCGACGGCTTTTTTTTTATTGATGAGGTAAAAAGTAATAAAAAGAGCGCGAGGTTGCCCTCTTCTTGAATTCATCATTGCTAAGTGTCTCGTTTTTTCCTTCCTACGCCGGTTATTTTGTTTTGTAAACGTATTGATCGATACAATTGTTCGACATTTTAGAACGCTAAATTTTCTTAGCCGTGGATCGAAGAAAAGGTGAGTGATAGACTTCATTATCACAATTAAATAGCGCAGAGGAAATTCCACAACACTCCTAAATTGCCGTAAGAGTTTAATACACAGGGGTCTTCGTTTTAGTCCAGAGAGTCTTCTTTTTAGTCCAAGGGTCTTCGTTTTAGTCCATAGGGTCTTCGTTTTAGTCCAAGGGTCTTCGTTTTAGTCCATAGGGTCTTCGTTTTAGTCCATGGGGTCTTCTTTTTAGTCCAAGGGTCTTCGTTTTAGTCCATAGGGTCTTCGTTTTAGTCCATGGGGTCTTCGTTTTAGTCCAGAGAGTCTTCTTTTTAGTCCAAGGGTCTTCGTTTTAGTCCACGGGGTCTTAGGTCTTAGCCCGGGGTACTCGATATATCCTTGGGTAGGGAGGAGTTAAACAATAAAAAAAAGCTAGGCTGCCGCTCCTGGAAACGAGGTTGGTCGATACTTGGCTTTACACCAAAAGCTTAGTTAATTTCAAGTAAGCATATGATTTAAGCCGTGCACTGCTCAAACTCATTAATAATTTATAAAGAAAATACAGAGGAAATTAATGTTTAATGAGTGTTTAGTAATCAGACGATGCTCATTTTTGCATCCTTAATTTCTCCTCCTAAAATAATTTTGTAATAAAGGAGGTTTTATAAAAACAGTTGAGAATAAAAATAAGCCATAGCAATGATTGACGTTTCGATGACTCCATGTCATCATTGACATCATTTTTAAATTCGTGTAGTCCTTGATTCCTTGAGTTCATTATATAGGGAGTTGCGTGTGAAAATTTAGTTTCATGTGATTAAAAGAGAAAAATACAATATAAAGTGTAAAAGGAGCTAATTATCAGGTTAATAGTTTTAGTGTACTAGAGTCAGGTTTCCAGGGTGTTCAGTTTGGGTTTCTTTTCTTTGATAAACAGCATTTCGTACATTTAGCAATTCAGCTTTCCACGGCATTTCTTCAGAATGGTAATTTGGTCAAGTAGATCGCGAATGATGAGTAGATGCTGCAGAAAACACGCAAAAAATATTATGGTTAGTGCTAATCTCGTACCCAGATATCCCACGGCCAAGAGAAAGGGAATCAGTTCATGCATGTCCATCCTTGAAGTATTTTTTTTTTATGATAATGATAATGATTACAACACTTTACAAAGTGATGATTTCTTTGGGTTTCAGCGCACTTATTTGTTTATCCGATAATAGATTAAATTACTACCTTTCTTCAAGCCTCAGCCCTTCGTTCTCCGGAGGCCTAGCGATTCGCATTTCATTTTCTTCCTCTTCAACGAGAGTTGTTGTTCCACAAGTTATATTGTCGATAAAAGCGACACGAAACATCGTTAATCGGACAGCGTAGATAATTGGATCAATAAAAGAGTTTAACAAGTTCATCGAAGTGATTGAAAGGAAAAGCATATATTTCTCTTCTAAAGGTACTAGACTTGGAAACTTAGTTATCACTATTTTGAAAACGATCATTGGTAAAGAGCACAGAAGTATCGCCGCAACAATCAGAGATGTAACTTTAAAGGCCCTTCTATCTTTTAATAACTGTTTCCTTCTTTCTTGTGTAACTTGCTGATCTGCAATTTGTCGCTGATGTCTTCGAGTTTCAAGGTAAACTGAAAAATGACAGTAAGCTATGCAGGCAACAGATAGTAACATTATTGTGTTATCGATAATAACAAACCCAGTATTTTTTTCAACAAAGGAAAAATAAATTACGTTAAGAATGAGGGGCAACAGCCAAGCCAGGGAAGAGGCAATGAGCAGATTATTTTCTTTGACAAGAGAGATGTGCGCAAATGAATGCTTGATGGCTAAATACCTTTCTCCACTGATCAGCAACAGATGAAGAATCGACACGCCGACGAGCATGTTTATCAGAGAGCGAAACGCCATAAATGAGCATAAATCACTGTTGTAGTTGACTAAGATTGATATTAGCCAAGCGATGAACACGGGCTGAGCAAAACTTCCAGCTACAAAATCAGTGGTAGCAAGCAGAGCGATCGCGATATTGGACTTGTGGGCCCTCAGCCGTCGTTTAGTTTTTACGGCGATCATCACCAACGCATTCAGGGCAGCAGTGAAAGGAAAGGTGAAGATGTTGATGATTATATTCAAAATAAGGCAAACTTGAGCAAAAGGAGAAGGTTTTTCTAGTCTTCCTCCCAAGATAACATACATCTGACATTCGTGGTGCATCAATTCACTTGAGTTCATGACGGCTTCTCAGATTTATCTGGATTCAGTTGGTGGGTTGAGAACTGTTCACCAAATTAATATTCTCTCTGTTGACCTTCTACTCTTTGTTTTAAGATGGTCGTGTCACATGCACTTATCGTTGTCTGGGTGTTTTCCATGATTTTGTTTTTTATGCATAAATGTTTAGTATTTGAAATATGTGTTAAGGGCTTTTAAGAAAACAGTTTCTTTTACTGAAGTTCCTTATGCCATCATCATTAAGAAACAATCTGCTTTAACTGCAAAAGCTTGATGTGTGGTTTAGAATGGTTTTCTATCTGAGTTCCGTCGGCAAGGAATAGCCACGAAAATATTTTTCACTTTTTAGCTTTTTTTTTCGGAAAAAAAGGAAAAAGAAAAGGATAAAAGAAACCAAAACAGCTGTTTAAATCGCCTTAGGAAACATCAATAATTTAAAAGCGCTGTTAAGTTTGAGTTTCAATCACTTAAATTACCTACATTCACTTATAAGCAACGTTTACGAAAAGTAATTGTGTTTAAAATGACTGGCAATTTAGTCAATTAAGCTAAATGTTAATTCAGCGTGTTCAAAAAAATTTCAAAATCTACGTTGCATTTTGCCAACAATTTCCTGACTACGATATTTGCAGTGAAAGAAACTCGAACTTAAGGGAACCGATTTATCGAATGGGTGATACTGTGACGTAGATTCATATATCACAAGAAGTACATGTAGGAATTCCTTCCGTTTGCCCTACTGCAGGACAAATGTGAGGAAATTTTCACTTCGTTTTTCTCTTAATGCTTGTGTGTAATTT